CTGGAGAAGCTCCCCAGAGACCCGTAGCTGTCCCCGGCAACACTGGAAGCCAGTGTCCTGTGTGTCGTCCTTCCGCATGGGGCTGTCACTTAACTCTGCTCAGTCTGTGCTGGTGCAAGTGCTTTTCCGTGGTGATGCATCTTCCTACTAAATCAAGTTTCATATGGAAAAGAGGCAGAGCAGCAGGAGAGCACTGGGCTTAGGGCCCCTGCAGGCAGCCGGGCTATGGCAGGGGATGGAGGGCTGGGCTGGTCTTTATGGGCCATTTCCAGGTGGTCACTGTGGATCCCACTCCAATGAACGAGATGGGTGCTGGCTCACGGCCATTCTATAGATCAGGAAACGGGCGCAGAGATGGTCAGTGGCAAGCCCCGGGGCGCACAGGGGTAAGGGTTAGAGTCAAGGTTCAGATTTACAGGTATCTGATTCCCAATTGGGAGGGGCAGCAGAGCTCAGGCACCAGCCCCGTCTTCCTGCTGGGGGTACGGCTGGGGGATGGGCAGGGGCCACCCGCCCAGCCTGTTATTCCGGCTCCCATTGGGTCCCATCTTTGGTTTAGGCCCTGGCCACTGCTTGCTGGTCGGTCCTCAAAGCCAAGAGGAGGCTGCTGATGGTGAGTGACCTGACGGCCCCAGCGAGCACTGCGTGGGGGCTTTGGGTGTGGCACCCAGCTCAGCTGACCCTCCGATTGGGGTGTGCTGACCCCTAGTCAGGGCAGGACAGGGCAGGGTGGGAGGAGAATGGGCTGGTGCAGAGATGCCTTGCTGAGCCCTCAGGCCTGGCTGCACCTTCAGGCCACTTATCTGGCTAGTACCTCTCCCTTGACCAGGCACACCTTCATCTCACCCGCAGGGCCCAGCAGAGTAGGACACGGGGAAGTGTCGAGGGAATCAGCGAGGGGAAAGGGCATCCTTGGAGGGCGGGCACAGGCAAGGTGTGGCAGCTGGCTTGGTAGAGGTATCTAGGTGGGGGCAGGATGCCTCTGGAGCAGGCAGAGTGGCCTGTCCGCTGTCAGGCTGCCATTATCTGCACGGGCAGGTGGCGCTGGCTGCTCTGTCTGGGCTGCGACCAACTGTTCCTCTTTGCCAGCCAGGCTCTGGTGCCCAGCTGATACCAGCTGCTGCCACCACACACTCAGCACTTCCTGTGCTCAGCCCACCCAGGCCCTCCTTGTGCGGTCCTTACAGCAGCCCCGAGGTTACCCCCGTTCTGCAGAGGTGGAAACGTGGCCTTCCTTTGTCACTTGTCCAGGGCCACCCAGCAAGGGTGTGAATGAGCCAGACCTCCCTCTAAAGCTCAGCTCACACGGTGGCCCCAGGGTCCCAGCCTCAACCTTGCTGCCCCAACAGGTGCCTGATGGCTTCATCTCCCATTTCTACTCCGTATCGGAGCACGTTAGCCCCGTCTTGGCCTTTGGCTTCCTTGGACCCAAGCCCCAGCTTGCTGAAGTCTGCACTTTCTTCAAGGTGAGCAGGGAGTGCTGTGGCCACTGCTCCTTCCTGGGCCTGGCCTGTCATGGCCCCTGGGGTTGGGTCCAGAGTGGAGTGAGGGCCTCGGCCTGCTCCTCAAGAAAGGGCCAGTGGGTACCTGGAGAGAGCTGTGCTCCCTTCCACTGGGAGCCAGCCCAGTGGGTGTGAGGAAGCCCTGGGAGGGCCAGAGTCCAAGGACAAGAGACTTGGTCAGGGGAGGGCTCTGGGGGTCTGGAGGCCATCAGCGCTGGGCAGGGCCTCTGCCCAGGTCTCATTCCCACCCTGTGCCCCAGCACCAGATCATGCAGTACCTGAGGGACATGTTTGACCTGGACAACGTGCGCTATACCTCGGTGCCGGCGCTGGCAGAGGACATCCTGCGTCTATCCCGGCGCCGCAGCGAGATCCTGCTCGGCTACCTGGGGGCGCCGGCAGCCAGCAGTGTGGGCCTGAACGGCGTGCTGCCCCAAGAGAATGGTCCCCCAGAGGAGCTGCAGTAGAGGGTGCGAAGGCTGGGGAGGGGTGGTCTGCTGGGGCCGCATCCACGTGGGAAACGGCAGAGACAAGGTGCCTCCTCCCTCCTCTGGGTTGGCATCCAAGGTCCTGGGCGTCTGTGGCCATCAGCAGCAGCAGAGCCCAGGCCGTGGTGGCTGAGGGTAGTTGCCCTTAACCTTGCCCCACCCCCATCATCTGGGAATCCCCAAGGCCTGGAGCGCAAACTTCCTTGGAGAGGGATGGAGCCCCTAGGGGTCCGCCTGACTGTCCTCGGCTGTCCCTGGGGAAGCAGAGGCTGGACCAGTGGCCAGTGGGACAAAGTAGTGAGAGAGAGGAGGGTGTGAGGGAATTGGGTTAGGCAGAGCTGGGGTGCCCTGAGTGTGGGACTTGGCTGCTGACAAGTGGGACTAGGAGGGCAGAGGTGGAAGGTGGCAATGTCAGGACTCTGTGGTGAAGGTCACCAATGTCCTGAGTTAGAAAGAACATGGGCTGAAAGGCCTCAGCATCCAGGCACATGGCTGGCCAGTCCTGATGCCTCCACCACCACCCTAGAGAGTTTGCAACTCGAGAGAGTGAGGGCAAGGGCCTCAGAGTGGGGCTGTGACTCTGGTGGACAGAGGAGGGACCTTTTCTTGTGCTCACATCTGGGCAGGGACTGGGCACTTGACAGACGCACGCACCAAACCAGGACATTGTCCTCTGACATTCCTTGTCCCTCCAGAGCCTGTCATTTCTCCTCCCACTTCTGCCACCACCAAAGACAGGAGGTGGGGCTGTCCTCCAGCCCCACCCACCTCCCTTCTGAGCCTGGAACGCCCTGGGTGGTGCCAGGTGCTGAGCTGGAGGCTCTGACCGGGAGTCATCTCAGGCCCATCACTTGTGCTGCCACTGGCAGTGGCCCCAGGAGTGAGGGGCCCAGGGACCATGTCGGGGAAGGGAGGAAGGTGCACAGCTGGACCAGCTCCCCAGCCTCACTGGGACAGAAAACTGCCCAGCATTGGCCTTCAGCTGGACGCACAGATGCTCAGAGTCAGGCAGCTGCTCTGCAGATGGGGGCTGTCAGCGCTTGTCCCATCATTGTCCCCCATCCATCTCGGTTTCTGTTAGCCCTGCAGACTCAGTTCTGTGTTCTCACTTCGGTGGGATGTTTTATTTATTGCCTTAACACTTTATCTTGAGGCTGTGCCCTGTCCAGGTTGAGAGGCCTGCAAGAGAAATCCGCTTCTGGTTCTCCATCCTCTGGATTTGGGGACTAGCTCCTCAGGCGGGGTCCCTCTCCCCTGAATGGCAAAGGGGTCCCAGGGGTTGAGTGATCTTGCCCATGGGGGTTGGGAGGGAGATGTTGGGCGTGGCCTATGGTCTGTGAACCCACTTTCCTCCTGGAACCCCCTTCCCATGCTTCCCCAGACTGGAGGAGGGCTGTGCACTAACCCAGGTTCTGGCTCCAGACCCACCTCTCAGGCCGAGGTCAGTGCAGTGCCCAAGCCTCCTGGGAGGTAAGGACCGTGGCCCCCCTCCCTCCCAACATTCCGTTCATTTGCACTTGCCCAGCGCTGTGAATGTAACCTTGGACCCGGGCCCTGCCCACACGGATTTGCTCTCACATCGCACAGAAGTGGCATTTTCAGTCTGTCTGTGTTTACACTTCCATGCACTGCCTCTGGCACCTGACCTGTTGCAGCTTCTGACTTTTGTAAGGTAGAGTGTCTGTGCATTGACTTGGGTCAAATAAATGATGTAAAGGATTTCCTTCCGAGTTGCCGCACTGCTGGGTGCACGTGCTGTTGGATGCGTGTGTGCGTGCTACTGGGTACATGTGTAGCCAGCTACTTCCCGGGCCAGAGTTGGGGACCTGCTCTTTGGGGTACAGTTGGTGGAGGTTTCAGGAGGGGAAGGGTCAAGGGTAGCCTGGTTGGGGCTGTGAGTCCCTTTGGGGCCACGTGGGCCCTGGTGGGGAGGGGAATATCCAGTGAAATGCTTGAGGGCACAGATGTGGGTGGGCATTGGGTGTGGATCAGCTTGGGCAGCATGTAGGTGAGGTGGCTTCCCTCAGCCTCTGTCCACATCTGCGAAATGCAGGTGTTGGATGAGGCCAGGAGTGTAGGCTCAGGCTCAGTGACCAAACACCCAGGCTGGTGAGAGCCATGGCGAGGAGCTGGGACAGGTGGGGCAGGGCAGGTCGGATTCTGCTAGGTCTTCAGATGTGTTCGCTGGCAGTGAACATTGAAAGGTTGATTTGAAGGGTACTTTAAAAAACACAACAAAGCAAAAACCACTTTGAAAATGTTCAGATGTACCGAGAAGCTCAAAAGAAAACCATATAAAGACTACCCATAAAACCACCACCTCGTCAGTAATTAACATCTTCCCATTTTAAAAAGAGTGTTTTAGAGTACGTTTCAGACAGCAGGTCTTGAAAATAAGGTAGTTCTCTGGCATGACCAAAATACACCGTTATCACACTTAAACCACGTCAGTGATTCTCATATCTGCTGGGATTCTAAAAGGAAGGGTTTTTTCCGATCAACGAGATGAACGTAGTTCCACCTATAGGGGAAAGGCCTCTCCCTTTCGGATTTTAGAGGCATGAGCTGATCTGCGGTGCTGGCAGGTAGGTTTACCTTTATTACAGTGTAATTTCTGTGCCACAGAGAGCACTTCCACAGACTGTGCAGCTGGTACCACAGTGTATACTTTCAGAGCATTTCCATCGCCACGAAAAGACTCCCTGTGTCCATTTGCAGTAAACCCCCCAGCCCCAGGCCACCGCCAATCTCCTCCCCCACCCCGATTTGCCTTTTCTGGACATTTCTGTAAATGCAACCCTATAAGAAGTACGTGGTCTTTTGTGCTTGGCTTCTAATGGTGTTTCTGAGATTAGTCCATTGTACGGCTGTACCAGTAAATTTATTTCTCTGTTGCCGACTAGCATCCTACGGTGGGTTTCCCTGTTTTTGGACTCATGGGTTTTTATTCACGATGCCCAGTTACAGGCACTCTTCTGATGCTCAGACGGCCTCGCATTTGGCCAGTGACAGCCCCTTTGAGCTGGTTCTTGGGTCCTTTTGAGACACACCCACCCCCACCCCCACCCCCATCAGTCTTCAAGTGCTTCCTTTAGCATCACATGATGCCCCCAGAAGCCAGAATCCCAAAGACCTGAGTGGGGAAGGCCCCGAGGGAACCCTGGCCCACTTCTGTGAGGGACCAGAATTCAAATGTGGAAGTTCGTGCAGCGAGTGAATAGGCCTCAGGGCAGCAGCTGACACATTTCATGGAAATAGGCCCAGGGAGTTTGAGTATAAACCAGTGTTAGACTTTGTGCCTCGTACTTCAGGGCTGCCCTGCCTGGACTCCCTGTCAGAGGAAAGGCCAGCCATACTTGGGACAGCTGGGGACTCCTGCAAAGCCTGGGTGTCCGGGCTTATCCAAGGGCACCTAGGGCTGTGGGAGGAGGCAGCCAGCAGTTTGGCTCATGGGATCTGGCAGACCTGAGTTCAAATCCTGCCTCTGCCATGTACTAGCCAGGTGACCTGGCAAATGGTGGGACACAGCCTTACTGTCCTCAGCGATAAAGTGAGATCATTCAGAGCTGCCTTGCGGGCTGCTGGGAAGATAACACAAGGGACTGAGGCTAAACACCTCCCCTCCCAGGATGCTCAGCAATACCAGGAGCATCACTAACCTAACTCAGCTCGGGGAGGAGGCAGGTGACTTCTGCAGCCTCCCATGGGTCTCCTTGCAGCAATCACACCTGGACTGCCTAGCCCCTTGTCCACACGCCAGGTCTCACCTGTCCTCTCTGCCATCTCATGGGACCCTGCAGTGGCTCCTTGGCACATCTCGATCAGAAATGCACCCATAAGTACACCAAAGACACGCACAAGGATGTTCTTAGCAGCACTGTTTCTAACACCCCAGACCTGGAGACACCCCAAATGCCCAGTAAGAGTCAAATGGAAAATAAACTGTTGTGTTCACACTGTAGAATCTACCATATGGCAATGAGAGTGGACAAGTGACAACTAGAGGCCACGGGGTAAATCTCACAGATAATGCTAGTGAAAGAAGCCACAGGCAGAAAGTACAGACAGGGCGGGGCAAAAGTAGGTTTACAGTTCGTATGGAAAATAAGTGTAAACCTACCTTTGCCCACCCTGTACTGTAGGATGCTGTTTATAGAAAGTACAAAATCAGACCAACCTAATGTATGGTATCAGGTGTTGGGGTGGTAGTCACCCTGGGGTGAATAGACTGGGTGCCAGGGGTTCCTGGGGCCCTGGTTCTTTATCTAGGGGCTGCTTAAACAAGTGTGTTCTGTTTGCGAAACTTCAACATACTCAATTTCTGGAATTGCCTGTATGAATGTTGTATTTTAATTTTTTTAAAAAGCACAACCAAACCAAACAACGCTCCCATCCTTCACAGCTCCCACCTGTCCTCAACAGTGGCCTTCAAACTTTTGGGGGCCCAGCCCCTGCCTACTTCCCCACTCCCCCAGCACCTCATCCCTCAATCTCTTTTGCCCATTTCATCCAGCCACACTCCTGCCCCAGGACCCTTGTTTATGCTGTTCCCTCTGCAGGAAAATCCCACACTGGATAACTCCCTCTCTATAGTTCATTTTCATCACTTCCTCGGAGTGCTCCCCATGAGGCAAGAGGGCTCTGGAATCAGACAGGCCTGGGTTTCAGGGGCTTTGCCTCTCTAGGTCCAGGGAGGGGCAATGCAGCCAGACCCGGGGTGGCTGCCCTGACCCAGGGGAGTATTCTGGGAAACCCCCAGCCCGTTCTTCTCACACCTCCTGCTACTCAGAAGCTAATACCGGCAGTGCCTGAGGTAGCTGAGGGTAGTAGGTAACAAGGAAACGGGGCCAGCTGACCCACAGAAGCCCAGGCTGGGCCAGGTGGGGAGCTGAGCACAGCTGAGGGGAGCCAGGGGGCCCTCCTGGCCCGCTCTGAGTCACCATCACCCCCCAGCCCTCTCAGCTGAGCCCCCGCCCTGGCTCCAGCTGCCCTGCAGTCTTGCAGAGCCATTCTGCTCAGTGGGACTCCCTGGTTTATTTTCACTTCTCCTCACAAGCATTTATGTCATTTACCAGGCTGTTCTAGGCCTGGCCTGGGCCAGGCCCAAACACATAACAGGCCGTCTTCAGGGTGCCCTGGGCTTCTGCAGGCTTGGCTGCAACCACTTGTATCCGAACCCCAGAGCACATGAGAATGCAGACTCCACGGCTGCAACCCAGACCCTAGTGGGACCCAGGAATCTTCATTTTCTTTTTTTTAAATTAAATTTTGATTGATTTTAGAGAGAGAGAGGAAGGGAGAGAGGAACATCGACTTGATGTTCCACTTACTGATGCGTTCATTGGCGGATTCTTGCATGTGCCCCGACTGGCGATGGAACCGCAACCTGGGGGTCTCCGGCCGATGCTCTAACCAACTGAGCCACCCCGGCCAGGGCAGGAATCTGCATTTTCTACACGCTGACCTCGGCGCTCACGAAGTCAGAAAACCACTGCTGCCTGCGGGAGACGGACCAGGGGCCGATTCCAGGCCAGCGTGGTCGGCGCCGAGGTAGGAGAGGGGCCCGGCGGAGGCCCCCTCCCCTGGCCACGGAAACCTCCCCGCGGGAACCGACCCTGGGCCAGGCGGGGGGGCGCGAGGGGTGCTGCGGGCCAGGCAGCGGGACAGCACGTGCAAAGGCCGGGAGGCGGGGGCGGTCGGGCACCTGATCTGGACCGCAGCCCAGCCGGGGCGGGCGCGGGGGCGCGGGGCGCGTTTTGGGCCAACAGGT